CGGACCAGGCTCACTGCCCACCTGGGAGGGGGGATCCTGGCACTGGAAGGAAGGCCAAGATCAGTTATTTCCTAGAGCTTGCTCCGGGAAGCCCGCCCGGCTGCCTTCACTTGGCCACCTGCCACCCCCACGGATACCCAGACGCTTCACCAGGAAAGGGCCAAAGATTTATTTTTGATCTCAGATGATGAGACGTCAGCTTTCCGGGGAGATTGTTGTGGAGAGGTGTTCCCAACACTGATTTTATTTAAAACCATCCATTCCACTAAAAACAGCAGAGCTGCAGGCCAGCACCAGAATGAGCAGAGCCACTGGGGCAGGAGAAGCTAGACCCAGGCGTCCTGGCATGCTGTCCTGGGGGTTCCTTGACACCAGGGCTCCTTGTTCCAAGATGGAACCATCCCAGGGAAAACAGGACAGGTGGTCAGTGTCTGGTATTCTTTCCAAGCAGAGAAAGAATGTGCCCGGGGAGTCCCAGTCATGGGAAAGTTGGCTCCAGGGCCACATGCCAATGCACCCACTCTCAGAGCCTGGCAGGCCTGCCCCTGCCACCATAAACTCATTTTCCAAAACTGACCCCAACCCTGTTCTACCAGGAATCAGGATTCAAATGTGACCCTGCCAAGTCCCTTCTCTTCCCTGGGCCTCAGTTTCCCCACCTACAAAATGAGACTGTTAGACTTGATATTACCTAAGGAGTCTTTCAGGTTCTAACATTCCAGTATCTACACCCCTTGGAATCTCAAACCTCTTTATCCATGGGGTTCCAGTAGAAATAATGAGCTCCCTGAGGTCAGGGACTGTCTTTTGCCTCGTAAGCCCCAGTGCTTAGCACAGTGCCTGGCACATAGTAGGCACTTATTAAGTTTTTGTTGAGGGGCAGCTATGTGGCACAGTGGTTAGAGCTCCAGCCTTGGAATCAGAAGGACCTGAATTCAAATTTGGCCTCAAACACTTGACACTATCTGTGTGACCCTGGGCAAGTCACTTAACCCTGATTGCCTCACCAAAAAGCAAAAAAAAAAAAAAAAGGAAAATAAATTTTTGTTGAATTTAATTGAGTTGAAGTAGGGGGCAAAACTCCACACCAGTTGAAAGATGCTAGGAGAGGCTCAGATTCTTACAATCTAGCCAGTAGCTCACTTGTGTTCAGACTCCTTAAGAGTCTGCCCAATATGACAGATGTTCTAATAAACCTTGTCTTTGGCTAGAAAAAAAAAGAAAGAAAGAAAGATGCTAGGAGAGCCCCAGGCCCCTTAGTGCCTTTAAAAGTAGATCCCCAAGAGCCTACTCTGAGGACCTACAACAGAAATAGAGGCTAGAGATGGTCTGAAAGTAGAAGCATGCCAAGTTGGGCCAAGGAGGGGGGTGTCCCTGGTCTCTGCAGGACCAGCTGCAGAGCCCAATCTCATTAAATCAGAAAATTCAAGAGCTGGAAAGGCAGTCCTTTGAGAATGGCTAATCCAACCCTCTCGTCCATCTGACAGATACAAAGAAGACAGTGACTTATCCCAGGTCACTCTGGGAGTTAGCTGCCAGGACAAAATCTCAGGTTCCTGATGCTCAGGAAGTTGCCACCCCTGATCAAGCTACAAGTCCTGCTAGGGCCAATCCAGAATCAAGAGTGGGAAAGAATGTGCTCCTGGAAGAGCTGGAGGCAGTAAAAGGCTGGCTCCTCAGGTCATGAGGATGCCAAGGCGAATGAGAGATGCGGAAGGGGAGAAGGCTGAAACAACTTGGGAAAAACACTCACAAAAAAGGGGTGGAATTTCCATTAAAAAAAAAAAACCTATTTCACCCTCTAAGCAGCAGAGAGGTCTCCTTTCCACATGCTAGAATGGAAAGGGCACAACGTCAGCCCTCACCCCACAGGAAGAAATGAGAAAGAGTCTTCACCCAGCTCCAAAAGGCATCCTGAGCCTTCCCTAGCCTTGTACTTCCTCCTCCCCTTTATGGGCTACCAGCACCAGCCTCAGTCATCCCATACTTAGGGTACTGCCGCACCCCACTCCACTGCCAGCTGACGTGTGTCTATCTCGTGGGAGATGGGACATGTCTCAAAGGAGGGCCAGTGAGAAACAAGAGAAGCCACGGAGCCGGGGTCTCTGAAAAGGTAACTCTGTTCTATTGGGGAGTTCATATAGCACGGGCCAGTCCACCAGGAGGGCTTTCTGGGCCAGGTGTCCCCTGGTTAGGTGACTCTCTTACAAAGTAGCTAGAGAGGTCATCAAGATGTCAGCTTGTGGTAGAACAATCAGACCCAGGGTAGGGGATGGAGGGGTAGGGCAGAGAGAGAAAGAGCTGTGAGGGCCAGCAGACATCACTTTGGGGGCTTCCCTCTAATAGCCAAAGAGGCTCTCACTGGGCACCTCCTCACTGCCCTCCCTTCTCACAGCCCCCCACCCCATGAAAGAGTTCTCTCACCATGGATGGGAATTCTGTGTTCCTACAGTCTCTAAGTTACTGGGCTGTTGTCAAGTTTTAAGGGGGAGTTTAAGAAGGGCCACTCCCTAATGGGAGGGAAGAGAAGAAAAAAATAAGAGGAGAGGAGAGCAGGAGGCAGAGACAGGAATCCTCAACATGGGAACACAACATGAACACAGAATAGTGGCTGGGGGTGGAAAGCTACAGGTGTAACGTGGTCATCGGACCCATCGTCAATCTCTCCAGCTCTGTGAATGGAATGAATGTTGGATGGATCCCTGGTGAGGAGGCAAGCCTCCGGAGGAGGTTCAGAAGGAGGCCCCCAGTTTTCTACTACAATGCTGAGAGCCAGTGAGGTACAATGGACGTGGGAGTATGAAAGATGGTGATTTTAGCCATGACAGTGTCACTCTGTAGCTGTGACCTGGGACCTCAACTGTAAAATGAGGACAGAGATAATTGACTGTCTTCCCTCATAGAGATCTGAGGGTGCTCTATAACAGGGAAAGCACCCAGTCCGGTGGTCTTTCTATTTTTACCACGTTGCCTCAGTATGGTGTTAAAAACTGGGGGTCTCCTTCTGAACTTCTGCCACATAAATGCAAGCAGTCATGGCAGTTGAAAGCAGCAAACAGAGACCCACAAAGGTCCCACTGGCTGCAACCCTGTAGACAGGGCCAAGGTGGGAGTCCCAACTTCACCTAAAGGGAGGTCTAGCCCAGAGGCCAGCTCTAGAGCCTGCTCAGAGGAGGAATGGAAGACATCTCTGCCCACAAGGGCAGCTGAGATTACTAAGGAGGATCCCTCCTCTTTGTCAACTTGACAACCTTAAGCTTCTGAAATGGTTTTTGTTTTACAGCTTCCTCCTTTCATTCCCTGGGAAAGATCTGAAGCCAGGATTATCTCCTGCTGAATTAAGGGAAGGAGAGTCTGCTGAGGTCCAGCTCTGGGAGGGAGGGATGAGATAGAGTGGGAGAAGAGGGGAGGGTGTGGACTAAACACTCACTTTCCCTCCGAGCCAACAATCATCAGAGTAAGAGAGGAAGGAAACCCTCTGGGGAAGGTGGATGGGCTAGGAATGCCCATCTGGGCTCTCAGCAGCAGGGTATGCTGGGATACAACACCCTGGAGGCATTATCCTGCTACAGGACTAAGTAAACCAAGATTGCCTCTCTCTTACAGAGGGTCACATGGCCAAGGCCATATGGGGACTAACTGATTTCTCTTTTTACACAGACCTCATTTTGTTCTGAATTTATTCCCACCCCAAAAGATTCCCACCACCATTTCTGCTCCCCTCTTGGTTTTTTTTAGTTTCCTCAAAAGGGTGCAGGGAGAAGGAAATGAGGGGGCACCCTCCTCAGAACATCCTCTTTGGGTGTAACATTTTGCTTCCCAGGAGAGGGGGCCCTGAATTCTGGGGGTCAGATGTACAAGGTGTCCCATTCCTCTGAGCATCTAGGTTTTACCAGCTTGAGCCTTCCTCCTAGCCTCGGTTTACCAAGAATTGTCGCTTAAGATGTGCCTGGTTAGACCCAAATCAAAAGACTTCTCAGGAATTCCTCCCTCCCCCCAAAATGGTTTTACTCAGGACACTCCAAGTCCACTCCCAGAGACCCAAGAAATGAGACTGAAAGCATTTTTTTTTTTTGCAATCACAAACACCTCAGAAGGACCTTTCCTCCTCTCTGAAAAACAGTGGCCCACACAACTGAGAGCCCCAGCTGGCACCCAAGAAGAGCTCCCCCATTCATTCCTTAGTCCTGACTGCTCCTATGGTCGAGGGGCGAGGGCCAGACAGGCAAGGAATAGGGACAGGAATAAGGAAGCCTCCCCCTCCTCCCCAGGCTTGGGCCAGCTTCCTCAATGACTGTCTAACCCCCAGCTGTCAGCCCAGGACAACAGGAGGGCTGGCATCCAAGGGGTTCTCAGAAGCAAAATGTTCCCTTGTAAGAACAGCCCCCCCTCTATTCAGAAGGGCATTACTTGCCAGGCTCTAGATACACAGGCCAGAAGAGTCAAAAGAGGTAGCAGATGTGGGACCATGCTAAAGGACAGGACATGTGAGTCTGTAAGCATCTCCATTCCTGTATCTGAAGGTGACTGCATCCTATATAGTTATAGAGATGGCTTGGGAAGGGGGGTAGTTTGTTGAGGGAGGTGCCTGAAGTTAGAATCAGCCCTGAGATGGTACATGCCTTCTACTTCAGGAGGAAAAAGGTTCCTGCTACATATGCCCCTAGGGAGAGAGAACAGTCACTTAAATACACCCCAAGGAGGCATGCAGACAGATCTGTGTTTAATAACCCTCTGGGTGTTCCCAGCTGGTTTCTGTTCATGAATACCTTAGAAAGCTTTGTGTCTGGAAGTGGCAAATATCATCAAAGCCTCTCCCAGGAGCAAGTTTTGTAAAGAAGGAAAGGGATGACATGCCACTAGATATGGAGGGGCTAGGGGTGTCATAATTCTGTCCCAAACCTGGATCCCTGGAAGTAGACTGTGGATAGAACAACAAATACCTCCACATGTCCTTGAGCCTGGGGGGCAAGTGTCCCAAGCAGCCCCTCTTCCCTCACAAACAGCGCCTGGGACCCCCTCCTGTAAGCAGCTCAACGGTGTCCATAAGCTTTGACGCACATGCTTCTGTAGGAGAGTCCGGGGAGACAGACTCTGTAGCCCATGGCAACAGGGAGCCAATGGGAGGCCAAGGAGAGGGGGCTGCCATGGCGACATGGCGATCATCAGCTCTTCTCCCCGGCAGCAGCAAGGTGGGGGCTGGACCCAAATGGAGGGGATAGCTGAGGCAGAGGTGGAAGGGTATTCCAGGTGCAAGGCTCAGGGCTCTGCCTGCCAGGAAGAAAGCCTAGCTCAGGTCCCGGGTCAAGATCTGACACTGCATTTGGTTCCCCACTGGGTCCGGAGGATGCAGGGGGCAGGGGTAGAATAACTCCCCATCCGGAGCCCGTGTGACTACTGTGGAGTTTGTGAATGGGCAAGCAATGTGTTTACCTGCACCTCTCTGTGCACTGTGTCTGTCCCTCAGTTGGAGCCCTTGCCTCAGACTGTCACAACCATGGGTGCAGAGTAGGGGGAGGGGTTCCCCGCTTTTCTCACTGATCAATTCCAGCGATCTCCATCCCAGAGAAGGGTCAGAGAATTTAGATCTGAGGGGGCTTTGAAAGATCCCCAAGTCCTCCTGTGATCTTGCAGAGGAAGAAACCAAGGGTCACGAAGTGGCAATGCCAGGGCTAGGAACAAACCCAAACCTGATCTTTCCATTGCACCCCAACTCCCCCCCCCAAGTGCCCGGCCCACTGGCCAGGGTGTTCCTCCCACATCCCCCGGTGTCCCGCGTGCCCAGGCAGAGCCGCATGGGGACAGGGACACGGAAGGGGACAGGGCAGGGTTGGGGCGCGAGGAGGGGGGGCGACCAGTGGCCCCGTACCTGTAGCGGATCCAGTCGGAGTGATGCTTGGAGGTCATGTCTCCGAGGGGGGCCGGGCCGCTGGCGGCTTGGGGGGCGGAGGCCCCGGGCCAGCGGGGCCTCGGGGGGCTGCTTCGCGCGCCCTGCTCAGCTCCCGGGGGCTCGGCCCGGGCCGCCTCCGCATCGTCCGCCGGCGGGCTGCCGGGGGACAGTTCGAGGGAGGGCGCGGGCTCAGTCCCGCCGCGGCCCGTCCGCCTGCTCCCCGGGCCCTGGCCCCGGCCGCGGCTCCGGCTCCGGCTCCGGCTCCGGCTCCGGCCCCAGCTCCGGCCGCATGGGCCGGGGGGCTGCGGGACGCGCTGAGGGACGCTGCTGGCCCCGACCGCTGGGGAGGTCGAGGTCCCCGGGCGGCGCGCGCGAGGCCGGTGCTGGGTGTCTGGGCGGGCTGCGTGTGTGTCTGTCTGTGTGTGCGCGTGTCTGTGTGTGTGTGTGTGTATGCGCTTGTGTGTGTGTCCGTGTCTGTGTGCGCGCCCCGCCCCGATCCGCTCAGTGCGCCCGCCCCCGCTCGCTCGCGCAGGACGCGCCCCCCGCCCCCCGGGCCGCAGCCCCTCCCAGCCTTTCCCTGCAGGGCGCTAGCGCGTGGGGGGCGGGGGGAGGCAGGAGGTGAAGGAGGGAGGCGGGCGGGAGTGGATGGATGGGAGGATGGGGGATGGGGTGGCGAGGGGGTACGCCAGCTACTCTGGCACCCCCTTGGCTGGAGCTAATCCCACCCTCCACCTCCGGCACGCACGCAGCTACCTGTCGGGCACTGCACGTTTGGATATAAGAAATGGATGGTACCATGAAATTCCTCCTCTCCCTAAGGGGCAAATGCGGTGCCCCCACCCCCCAGGCTCCTAGTGCAAATCTTAGACCGAAGTAGCTCAGCCTCATTTATTCAGAGCCCAAAGGGGTGAGGATGGGGGTGAGGTCCAAGATCTGGCTTGGTCCAGGAAGCTGCTGTATAAGTGTGGCACTCCTAGTCAGGAAACCTGGCTCCAAAGCTGGGTCACTTCCCCTCTTGAACCCCAACCCCATCGTTTTGTCTTGCCGCTTATGTGTGTGTCTTCCCCTGATACTGATGCCTATTCTTGGTGTGGGAGTGAGGCAGAGTTCTAGAGGTCGAGACTGGACCCTGGCAGGTCCTAGGAAACTGAAGGGCCTCTGCCTTCCAGTGCAGTGACAGACAGTGGGTAGCGGCCAGCCTAGCTGCGTTTGGGGAGGTGAAGCACCAATTAGTCAGTCAGTCCATAGGCATTTATAAAGCACCTACTACGTGCCAGGCACTGTGCTCAGCACTAGGGATACAAAGAAAGGCCAAAAACAAACAACTTGACCTTCAAGGAGCTCACAGTCCAACAGGGGAAACAATAGGAAAACTATGTACAGACAGGAAATAGACAGGACAAACTGGGAGACGGCAAGAGAGGGAAGGCACTGACATTGAGGGAGATGAGGCTTCTCATAGAAGACTTGAAGGAGTGTCAGGAGGTGGAGATGAGGAGAAAGACTATTCCAGGCATGGAAAACAGCCAGTAAAAATGGCTAGAGATAATTGCCTTGTTAAAGGAACAGCAGAGAGGCCAATAAAATCCCAGAGCACATTGGGAAGTAAGGTGTTAGAAGACTGAAAAAGTGAGTCACGAACCTTTTTAGCCACAGCAACTCTTAGACCAGATGTTGGATCTTAGACTAGATAAAGATTGCAGTTTTCAAGAAGAGAGGGGGTACTTACACCTAAAAGATTTGAAACTGACGTACAAGGGAAGTGCCATATTCCCCTCTAGACTATGAGTATGGGGCCTGAGACCATGTTTTAACCAGACTCTAATAGGAAAGCAAGCCATGCAGCAGAGAAAATGCTAGAAATTATTTCAGAGGACCTGTAGTTCCTTCCAGATCTAAATCTGATTCTCCGGTCCCCTGGCACAGAACACAATACTGTGTACTCAGTAACTACTTAATAAAGGCCTGTCAAATGGACAGGTGAATGGCAATGTGGTAAAGTAGAAAAGTCAGATATTTGGGAATAGAAGGGACGTTCAAGGTCATCTAACTACGAAATGGTGGAGTCAGGATTTGTAACCAGATCTTCTGACTCAGTCCAGTGTGTCTCCATGCACCAGACTGCCAGGACTCAGGTTCACACCTGGGCTCTGCCACTTACTGGCTGGATACCCTTATTCAAGTCTCCCTACTTTGTTAGGCCTCAGTTTCCTCCTCTGTAAAATGAGGAAATTAGACTAGACCAAGAGTTCTGGACTTTTTCTATATCATGGACTCCTATGGCAGTCTGGTGAAATGCTTGGAACGCCCCCCCCAGAATAATATTTTTAAATGCATAAAGTAAAATGCATAGGATTATAAGGAAAACCATAGGTTGGTAGAAAATAATGATGTAACTTTTCCCCAATTCAAGATCACGGACCCCCTGAAATCTGGTTAAGAACTCTTGGTCTCTAAGATTCCTTCTTCCCAGGAATTTTATGATTGTCACCCAAGCAGATCCATCCCCAGCCTGGGGAGGGGATGGGCAGGAGGAAGAGCTTTAGAGAATGTTGTAACGGGCAGGGACCTTAGAGATCATCTAATCACAGAATAAATTTTTAAAAATCACCAACTTTGAGAATTGGAAAGGACCTCTGAAGCCATCTTGTTCACCCCATGCATGAAAGGAATGTCCACTATAAAATACCAAACAAATGTTCTGCCAGCCTCTACTTCGAGACCAATTGAGTCATTTTGTAAATGAAGAAACAGGCCTGGAGAAGGAAATTATTTGTCTAAGGTCACCCAAGCTAGTTAGTGCAAGAAAATAGGACTTGACCCTCAGTCTTTTTAACTCTTGTGGAAAGGGCATCTTCTGTCTGGCCAAAGGAAAAATCATAGGGTTAACTTAGAGCTCTAGTCTTATATATCCAGCTGAATCCCTGTTACCTTGGGCCAGTCATTATCCCTCTCCAGAGCTCAGTTTCTTCATCGAGAAGAGGGGATCTGAGTATCAAAGATTTAGATCTGGAAGGGGCTATGGGTCTTCTGCTTTCTGCCCCCTCTTCCTCCCTGAGGAGGGATCCTATTCCAGATGAGGTTTTTATTGAATGGAAACAGTCTCCACAATGGGTCTGAGCCATACAGGATTCCCTTCTTCCTTCCCTCCTTCCCTCTGTCACCCCCACTAGTGAGGGAGCCCCCAAGCCAGGGCAGGGGTTAGGGAGGCAGCTGGCATAGCCAATGAAGGGCTGGGCATGGGAGTCAAGAAGACCCACATACCGTGCTGGCAAGCTGTACGACCGGTCATAACCCGTCTCAAAGCCTCAGTTTCTTCATTTATTAAATGAAGGGGCTGGACTCAGTGGTCTCTAAGATCCTTCAAGCTCTAAATCTATGACCCTGTGAAGGAGCCTTCCTCTCCCCAGTCTGAGCCTTAGTTATCAGCCTTGGCCTGGTTAGTACACCATGGGAGCAGGGAGAAACAGACCAGAAGAGCTGGAAGATTTTCAAAACCATTTGCCAGAGAAAGCCAGCAGCTCAGAGAACAGCCCTCCTCCTCTCCCCCTCACTGTATCATGGAATCAGCACCAATCCCCTACTACTTCTGGATGGAATCCCCCACCGCAGTGTAGGACAGTACCAAGGAATCTGCACTGGTCCCCAAACACTTAGTGGATCACCATCACTGGCCAGTGCTGGGGCTGGCTCTCATTCCTCCCCACCCACATCCAACCTCCCTGGCCGATTTCCCCTCTCTTTCCACTGAGCCAAACTCTAGACATCCTCAAAGATGCCTTCCCCGACTCGCCCTACTCCTTTCCCCTCCCCCACCAGCGCACAATTATCTCTCTTCTCAAATCACATAGCACTTAGTCTCGCCACTCCCTGGGCACTTAGGGAAAGCAGCCTGACTGGTGAGGTTAACATTTTGTCTATGCGTGTGTGTCCTATCTCCCCAAGAACAACAGTACAGTCAAGACCAGGACAATATCTTCCCTCAGTCTTCCACAAAGCCCTGGCAACCCAACAAAGAGCAGGGGCTAAATGAAGATTTGTTGATTGACTGTCAGCTGCTTAGATCAGTCCCTAAGGGCATACAGTGAGTAGACCTTAGATGAATCATTTGAAGAAGACAGCCAACAGCCCAGTTTCCCCAGGGGCAAAGTAGGACATTTATTCTTACCCTTTCTCTACTCTTCCCTTTCCTCCTCCCCATTCTTGCATGAGGGTGACATTTGCATGAAGCTTAGTTTATGCTTTTCTGATTTCAAGTA